ATCAGGCAATTATCTAGCACGATATACATTGCGAAAGGTTTTTACATATATCATATCCAGCCTGATTTAATCACTGCAGAAATTCTGTGATCATACAGGTAGTATTGTCACCTGTGGACCAAAAATTTTATAACTGTAGGACATGTACCTGAGACTATAATGGGCCACCAACAGCCTCGCACAATGTGTGAAATGGGGCACAAAGAAAGGTGCAAAGTGATTAAATTCCTGAACCCTGGGGAAGAGGAGGAGGACAGACTCCCTGAATGCATTCCGCCAAGGGTTATGCCAACTGTTCTCTTAACTTCATCCTCCAACAAAACTTTGTGGTAGGAACGCCCAATTACAGATGGCAAAATTGAATCACAATGGTTAAGCCCGACTAACACGACAAATCCAGGATTTGAGCCCATCTAGACTGTTTCAGAGCCTGTTCTCTGGGCCATGACAGTTTAATTCCCTCCTAACTTTCCAAAAGCTTCCTGCAAGGAAAGCCGAGTCATACATAAAGTACCAGGAGTCAGAAAGACATCTGACTTTTCAACACAGCAGTGGAAGCTGGAAGACAATGGACCCTTCCCTTATGATTCTGGAAGGAGCACTTCTATCCTCACAGGCTACGCAATACCCATAAGTGCAAAGTAAATGAAAACACTTTGACATAGCCAAAGTCTTCAAGTTTACTTCCCAGGCACTTTTTCATGGGGGGGGCTGGAGAATGTGCTTCCTTCTACGTGGGGAAGTAGACAAGGAACAAGTGGAGTAGGTTCCTGAAGGGAGTCTGCAGGGCAGAGCTCAGAGACCATCTGACAGATTTCCTGTGTGGAGAACTGCCCGAGAGGTATTTTACATAGCTATAAGAAAGGCAAGCATATGCAGAAATAGAAATAACAGAAAGGAAATGTAATCATTAGGTATACAACTGCATTAGGAATGAACACAATCAGATTTACCAATCAAAGAAGACTGAGTATGGGACCTGGCTGGGTAACTCGGTTAGAGCATTGTATCAATACACCAAGGTTGCAAGTTCGATCCCCGGTCAGGGACACGTACAAGACTCAACCAATGAATGCATAAATAAGTGGAACAACAAATCGATGTTTCTCTCTTTCTCTGTCTCTCTCAAATCAATCAATTTAAAAAACTGAGTATGTGTTTAACAAAAATTAAAAGCAAAGAAGGGAAAATGTTAATGTATAAAGAAAGATAAGAGAAAGAACACAATATCTTTCATAAAAGGAAGTCAGTAGATAGGCAAACCTGAAATATCAAGAAATAGTGGAACATGCACATTATTTGCAAGGACTATGGTAAACACCAGAGGAAATATTTAAAGAGTGGAAAATAAATTTTTCTAAAGAAGAGGAATCAGAAATGGGAAGAAGTTGACAGGGGGTCATTGCCTTTCATTACAGCTTGTTCCATGTGATTTTTAACACGATGTATTCCTTTGATGTAAATGAAAAAATACATTAGAAAGAGCAGTCTCTCTCAGAACCATCTCTCACCTGCAGACACCAGCCTGTCTGCAAACCGACAAGCAGAATTTGCTAAATTGCAAAGTAAATCTCATTCAAGAATTGTAAATTCACGACTCATCAGTGGATTAGTTTTATAAGTGAATTTAAAATATATAATTTAAAAGAGATTTACAATGGATATTTTTCTAATTTGTATAATCTTTTATCTGTTTATCCTAATGCAAACTTGATTTTAAACATCACAGCTTAAGCTTTCTCCGCCACCACTTTTGCTCAGAGGGACGAGCCTGTTTGTGTGGCTGTCACTACACACACTGCACTCTGGTCCTTCACGCCAGCCTTTCCCTCCGCCTACAGGAGCCTCTTCCTCTGGTGACTGACAAAGCATGATCACTCATTTGTACATTCAACCAAAATTACTGCACATCTACTCTGCCTCTGACAGCAATTCAACATCAGGGAATCTCAGGACATGGGCGATACCAAATGGGCAGCAGGGCTTAAGCTCATGCCATATATTTTAAATATTTGGGTTTTCCTTCCAAAACACATAATGGTGAAATGCAATGTGTTTCTCATTTCATGGCTAATTTGTCCAGATTAGGCTAGATTTCAGGCAGGTTATAAACAGCCAGTGTGGGCAAGTGAAAGGGCATCCACAGAGCCCCTGGCTGAGCCCGTGCTGACCTGCAGGTCTCCGCGGCCCCCTACACGACCCCCCACCAGCTCCATCACCCTCAGAGAGAAGGCAACACACTCACACTCACCCACTTGCTCGGGAACCCTTACTGAAGAGGCCATGCAGGTTTCAAATTGATCAATGGTTCTCACTTACACTGTGAGGTTCAGGGAAGAAAACAACCCCACTAAACAAACAAACGAAACATCCCGAGATATAAACTGGAACCCCTCTGACCAGGCACAGTAAGGGGGCCACACCTGACCTGTCTTATTCTCCCTTCTCTTGATGCCACAAGTTCTCTTTTCCTTCCTGCAGCAGTTAAGGATTTTGGCGTCGGGACAGACGGTGATGAGAGACAAAATGTGTAGTTTCTGCCGTCGACTCCCTGTCCACTCCTTACTAATGATGCCAAAAAATAACCCCCCAAATATGCCGCTAATTTCATCAATACTTAGTCTTCCTAAAGGTTTGGGAAATGTGACCTTAATTAACCCGGCAGAAGTTTCATACAGTTTTTCTGTTCATCAGCTCCTCTGCCTACGCACAAGCAGGCATCCGTCCGGATGGACATGCTCTGCAGGGAGACTGTCATGAACCAACCATTATGAACTGTTCCTGCTCTGAGCAGTGTTCACCGTACTGAGAACAATTCGCATTTAAGTGGCACCGGATGTTGATCAGCGCATGGAGAGCATACGTGATGCAGGGGACCTTCAGGTCCCTCCTGCTGCAGATGAGAAGGGCCAGTCTGGTTACTCTCCTGCAACTTCCAGGGGTGGGGAACCTCTTTTCTGCCAAGGGCCATTTGGGTGTTTATACCATCATTTGCGGGCCATAGAAAATTATCAACTTAAAACGAGCCTGCTACACTTGGTGAGGGTCAGTTGGTGAGGCTGTGATGTTAGCTGGTGCTGCTCTCCAGGGCCCCATGCGCCCGCAGCCCGGACGGTCCCCGCCCTGCGAGCTGGCAGCAGGTACCATGCTCCTCCACCAAACCATCCGGTTTTCCTGACGCAGCTGTTTCAAAGGAAGGCAGCTCCTGTACCCCCGAGATGTTCCTTGAAGAAACACTCTCTATTCCCTATGGCATCTTAAGTGAATCTTTTTTTTTTTTTTGTATTTGTATTCCACCCCTCCCCCCCCCCATTCCCTTTTCCTTCTGCCACACTAGCTACTTGTTATCTTATGTAACCAACTTTTTTTTTGAAGGTGAATTAAGTTTAATTCACCAAACACGGGGTCCCTTCTGTGTACCAGGGATTATGCTAAGTATTGAGATAACAAAGATGAATAAAATGCGTAACCATTAGCGAGAAGGAAGCAAAGGGATCGGACATGGTTGAACACGTTTGCTTCACCAGAGAGCTGCAGCTTCCACCAGCCCCCAAGGGAACCGCTGATCTGTCCCCACAGTCACCTGGGCAGGGTCAGAACAATCAAGGGGGAGGTGAGCACATGCTCAGCTGAAGCCAAGATGGCACAGGGGGAGGTGCTGACCACAGAGGCCTGTCCATCTAACCTGGGAAAGAGGTCACTGGTCAAGGGGTGGGCCCATGAAAAGTACACGAAAGCTTGAGAAGTTGATTGGTTATTTTGAAAAAGCTCCTGGTTCCCCCAAAGCCCCAGAATACATAATCCCAGGGGAACAAAGAGCGCAGAAGTGTGCATTCTCTGTCTGTCTGTCTGTCTGTGTCTCTCTCTCTGTCTCTGTCTTTCTGTCTTTCTCTCCGTGTCTCTCTGTCTGTCTCTGTCTGTTCGTCTCTCTGTCTCTCCCCTTCTCTCCCTCTCTCTTCCCGCCCCATTTGCTCACGTGCTCTCTCACGCAGGAGAACGTGACCGTATAGGTCTAGCGGCAACTGGGCGCCCAAACCGCACAGGCTTCAAAGAATTAAGCTTTAATATGAAACAGAAACTGTGCACCCTGGCCTCTGCCGTGGCCTTGATGAAGACAAGGCTGGACTTTTCCCACAGCAGGACGAACAGAGATGGGACATCGGAGCCCAGGAGGGGCTCTCTTCTATTTCCAACTGAGTGAATCATCCTGCCACAGCACGTGCCCCCGTGCGTGGTCCGTGGAATTCTTTCCTCGCAATCCTGTGGAAGAGCCTAATTTCTACCAACACCATACTGAGGTCATGGATGACAAACCTGGCTGAGTCCAGTACATGGCCATGAGTTAGACCTGGGTGCCACTCACGCACCCTTGTGCCCAGACTGTGATGACAAGAGTTATGATGGGTAGACTGTTCGGTAACCGGGTACTCACTCTAGTGACAATAACTTCCAAGTGTCTGAAAATGCAGATAAATCCATCCTTCCCCCGTCTGTTCAATACAGAGCCAGGGAGACCTAGCAGAGAAAGTCCCGAGCGGTTTCTTCTCTAGAAGCTCTGCCTGCCAGGGTACAGGCTGTCTCGTGGTCCTGCGGGGCAGCCCTGGGAACCGCCGGCCAGCCTAGCGCAGTCTCGGTGCGGCTGAGCAAGGGTTGCAGCCGGGCGGGCCTGCAGGCTAAGCCGGCTCTGCGGCGCCTGCTCCGTCTGGTGGAGGGCGGGGCTGTCAAGTGCTCCCGCTGGCCCCACCGACTTCACTGGGACAGCACAACCGTCAGGCCGGGAGGACCTAAGTTAACCTGTCCTCAGTGCTGACAACCACTTCCTGTTTTCATAGGACATGCGTCTGAGTGACCCCAGCCCAGCTTTCCTGCTCCCGGCCCCGCGGCATGCTCCGAGGTGCACACGCCCCTTCTGGGCGGCAGCACCGACGCGATGGCCCGCAGTCCCCCCGCGATGCCCACCGGCCAACGCACCGGCACCCCGCCTTTGTCACCTTACTGACCTCTCACTTCCCGCTGCCGATACTCCCTGCTTCTCAGGACGGGGTGTGCGATCCACATCCACGGGTGGTGCTTGCGGAGCTGGGGGAGCAGGTAATGGGTCACGAAGCCCACGGCGCCCGCCAGGACGAACAGCACGACGCTGAGGAACGGCTGCAAGGACAGGGGCACGTCTGGGGTCCAGCGGCCGGGCAGGCCGCCAGGAGGGACCGAGCCCCGTTTCCTCGTAAGGACAGGCCAACGCGTCTGGTTCAGGCCCTTGAACATCTCTTCACGTGGCAGGGGCCCCCCTGTGCTGCGAGCCCCTGGGGTGCGGGGAGCACCGGCCGGGGAACTCTGCTCACCCGAATACTTCTTTTAAAGAAGAGGTAAGGAATAACACAATCAGCTAATAGACTTTTCCTCCTGGAAAGAATTCAAAAATATATAACATTTTTATACGGAGGCAGCAAATGCCTGTAAGAACCTTAAGCCAGAAATTCCACCCGTATTTCTCTACCGTGGTTTGTCTAACTTGTCTTTCTGGCTCTGTGGCCTCCGTGTCATCGTGCTGTGGCCTCCTCCTGTCCTATTGCTACTGGCCGTCCTCACGGTGCAGGGTCCACAGGCAGGCAGATGCCGTGGCGGCAACACAGCCCCAGATGGGGGACGAGAGAGCGAAACACTGAGCCGAGGCTGCGTGGACCAAACCCCAGCGCGCGGTGCACCTCCTCACCTCCCAGCGGGCCCTCTGCGCCCCTCCCCTGGCCCCACTGTCCTCTAACCCACGCGGGGGGAGGACCAGCGAATGGACACGTACTCGCAAGGACAGGAACACGGTGCTGGCACTCACTGCAAATGACAGGACGGCGGCCACCGAGCACATGAGGAGATCCGACTTGAAGACGTCCTTCTGTGGAGAGAGGAGCAGCCGCCAAGTTTGTGCCTCTTCGTTTCTCTCAGCAACTCTGTCACCAGGCAAATCAGGTGACAGGACGCTGGCCCCGGAAAGACGGCCCATTCAGTGCTCACTTACCTCATACAGTCCCAGGGACACGCACTGGATGGACCCTCACTACCTCCTACACGGGGAATATCAGGGAGACCGAGGCGCAGGTGAGGAGAAGGAAATGCAAGGCCAGCCTTCATCTGCTAACCACGGACAGCAGAGAGGTTTCTACAGAGCTACGAGGCCCGAGGTTCTCCACAAACAGTAGATGCAAGGCCCGGATCGGACAGCGGAGTTCTGATAACCTGCACTTGGCCTCAGAACAGGCAGAGCACAGCAGCCTGGGCGTGCCAAACAGGAGCTTCTTAGGCATTTAATTATTTCTCTGAGCCAGAACAGATTTTATATTTTACAATATCTGATTTTAGGCTTTTTACAAAGCTTCAGTAATCAGGTACTGATGGTATTGGCACAAAAGACACATCTAAAACAAAGGACAGGAAAAGAGGCCAGAAAGAAACCAACACATACATGGTCAACTGACTTTAAATAAAAGTGGCCTGTGCGGCTCAGTGGAATGAGCGTCGTCCCATGGACTGAGAGGCCCCAGTTTGACTCCTAGTCAGGGCATATGACAGGGTTGCGGGCTCGATCCCCGGTAGGGGGCGTGCAGGAGGCAGCCAATCGGTGTTTCTCTCCCTTCCTCTCTCTCAAAAAATTAATAAAAACATATTTAAAAATAAATAAATAAAGTGCTAAGGTGAGGGAAAGTGTAACTTGTTCAACAATTGTTGTTAGAACAACTGAATCGCCATCCACAGAAACAAAACAACTACAAAAACCGTCTTGACACTTCACATCACATACAAAATTAACTTAACGTGCATCAAGAGCCTAACTCGAACTCTCAAATGTCTCAAAGAAAGCCTGGAGGAAATCCTGTTGCCCTTGGGTTTGGCAAAGCTCTCATGCACAGGGCACTAGAAGCTGGACTGCAGAAGAGAAAGTCATTGGACCAGGCTTCAAGAAAAGCTAAACCATTTGCTGTTCACGAGGTGGTGTTATAGAGTGAAAAGGCAAGCCAAAGACTTGAAAAAATATCTGCAAAACATCTATCCAACGAAGGACTACTCCCTAGAGTACACAAAGATCTTTACAAGTCAGTAAGTCAAACAGCTCCCCTACCCCCATTCCCAGCTGCAAACGTTTTGAACAGACTCTTTACCAAAAAAGATGCAATTATAAATTAAATGGTAATGATGGAGCTTTTTATTCTTGATTCTAATGAATGAACTATAGACCAATCTTAATATCGGTGGAAGTAATACAAGCAAAATAAAAAGAAAATATTCCCTCTTTCCTTACAGACACCAAAGAGCACATATTATCTGCTCCAGAAATTATATTCTTGAAAATATTATTTTTTCAAAAGAATCCTGAAAGACACCTGGACCCTGGAGATTGTTGTTGTGTTCTGTGAGAGTGGCCTTTAACATTGTTAAAAGGAAGTAATTTTGATTGGTTTTCTTGTTAAATAATTTTTTGCTCACTTAAATGTATATTATATATCTGTTTTTAAAAGATATAAACAACTTTTAAAAAGGAGAACAAAATCGGAGGACATACACTATCTGATTTCGAAGCTTATTACAAAGCTACGATAATCAGGTATTGATAGAATTGGCATAAAATAGACTGGAGAACAATAGGACAGAATAAAGGGGCTGTTTGTTTGCAGGTGTTTAGTTGGGTGGGTTTCCCTTTAAGTTTCATTTGGTATACAAAAGAATAATTATGGTGCTTCCCTATTCCTTCTCATGTTTGAAAACTAAAAAATCTATGACTGTTAAATTACTTATTTAAACAAGAGTTTTAGAATTTGTTTCATTTCGATAAATATCCTGTCTTAAAAGTAAATCATCCGATTTTAGATCTTACAAAACTGAGAGTACAAAAACATCTAAGCAAAATACAAATTTAGAAGGTATCTGCATTTTTAGTGTTAATTAACGGTTCCATTACAGGACAACATGATAACACTGCAGCTAGAAGAGAGAGAAGGGCAAAGGTCATTCATAATCATTGCCTCCTGACACTAACAATATTTGCATTTTCGTGTTTTCTGGGCGATTATTTTTGCCTGTGAACGCTGAACCATGGTTCTGGTTGTAGTCATGAGATATATGAGTTTAAATGCATATTTTATAAATGCCTAGTTTTAGTGTGCATATAATTTCTACCTTTTTAAAAAAATATATGTTTTTGTTGATTTTTTAGAGAGTGGAAGGGAGAGAGAGAGAGGCATCGATATGAGAGAGAAACACCGATCGGCTGCCTCCTGCATGGCCCCCACTGGGGATTGAGCCTGCAATCCGGGCCTTTCAGTCCACGGGCCGACGCTCAATCCACTGAGCCACGCTGGCCGGGCAACAGTACTTTCTTTTGTAAGCATTTTATATATTATATATAGTACTGTATAGACTTACTAATAGTCACTTAATGGCTAAATAATTTTCCATCTTGTCCTGTGTGCATATATACATACATATACAAACAGTGTATATGGTGGACACTCAAAATATTAATGTGGTGAGTGAAGTGAATGATCTGCAGTGAGCGCAAACACCCCGACTGCCAGACGACAGGGTGCCTTCCATTTCTTCCATGATGAATTACGCTGGGTCAGTATCTTTATGCACCTAAATCTCTTTATACATTGTGAATTAATTCTCTAGAAGAACTGACAAATAGATTTACTATATCACAAGTTATGAATATTTTATAATCCTTGATAAATTATGCTTTTCCAAATGATTGTAATAATTTACACAAATACAAACAATGTCTAAGGGATCTCACCTTGTCACAGTTGGCAATATCATTAATTTATCCTGTGCTAATTGAGTGGACCAATAAAATGCCATCTTATTTTGCATTTCTTTATTTACAAAAAGTGTAGATATATGTCATATATTTACATACTAAATATTTGGTTCCTAAATGAAATATATATAATAATATCATTTGCTTATAGTTTTTAAAATTAAATTCATGAATTGTTGGTGTATTTAGCTTTTGTCAAATTTACAACAAATACTTTAATAAATTATTGAAATTTTATTGCCATTTTTTGACATACAGAAGTTTAAAATTTTTATGTACTCACATCTAACTGTGTGTGTGTGTGTATTTGTTGTTATTTTATAGACTCCAAGTCTGGAGAATCATTTCCTGTCTAGGATCTGAATAAATATTTGATTTTATTGCATACTTTTTTTTGAAAAGTGCATAAAGTACCCATGCACAATTTAAAGAATAATTAAAAAGTGAACGCCCTAGTAACTACCAACTGCTTCAAGAAACCTAGCACTTCCACTACCCAAAAAGCCCCTTGTAAGGGGCTCCCTGACCACAAACCCTTCTTTTCTGTCCTGAGGGTTCCTATCAACTATCTGGTGAAAATCATTTTCTTGTTTTTAAAAACCCAAACGATTTTACTACTGGTGTATGCAGCTGTCAGCAGCTTAGTCTAGTTTGTCTGTTTTCACCCCACGGAGGGTACCTACCGGATGTCTGTGTCTTGCTTCCTTTGCTCACATCACGCGATCAGGGTTCACCCGTCCCCTGCATGTGGCTTAGCGAGGGCTTCTCCTTTGCTGTACACTGTTTGCAGTGGCTTCAGCTGGGCGCTCACAGACAGACATGCCGTCGTGAGCAATCTGACATGTGTATCCTGGGACACGTGTGCAAGGTATGCCCGGGGTAAATGTCCAGGAGAACCACTGGCTGTCGTGTGCATGTATCTGCAGTTTCGTCACACTGAACTGTTTCCGAAGTGGGTGTACTGATTCACGCTACCAAAGTGCATGCGCGTTCTCTTGCTCAAAATGTTGTCAACACTTAGCGTTGTGAGAACTTCTAATTTTTGTCAGTCTGGTAGGTGTGAAATGGCAGATCAGTGGGTTTCACTGTGAAGTTTAGCAGTTCCCCCTTATCCACAGGGCGATACGTCCCAAGACGCCCAGCTGATGCCTGAAACCTTGAGTAGTACCAAACCCTATATACACTTTATTTTTTCCTAAAAAATGCATACTTATTCACTTAAAGGAAGCACTTTATGGCTTCTCTTTGGCATCTTCAAATTGCCGCCACGACTCTTTCACTGGGGACCATTAGGAAATAAAATAAGGATGACCCGAACACAAGCACACCACGACAGTCAGTTAGACGACCCAGATGGCTAATGCGCGGCTGAATGTGCGGAAGGGGCAACCACGTCCTGGGCTGGATGGGATAAGACCCCGTGAGAGTTCACCACAGAATGGCAAGTGTTTAAAAATGCATATGGCCTGATTTTATTGAGATATCTGCCTGTCTTTATTCACAGGGATTTTATCCAGACACTAGTGCTTGTCAACCATTCATATTTTGATAATTGTTGCCCATTCTGTGGCTTCTTTTTGTCTCTTTTTTGGTATTATTTGATAAATCAAAGGTTGAAATTTTAATAAATTTGAATTTTTGTGTTATTTAAAAAAAATTCTTTCCTATACTGATATCATAAAGATAACTTATTTTATTCTAAGTGCTTTCAGATTTTGTCGTCTCATATTTAGGTTTATAATCCAACTGGAGTTGACTTGCAATAATAGTGTGACAGAAGAGTCCCATTATATCTCATTACTTACAAGAACTATTTTTCACTATTCCATCTTCCCTTTGGATAAGGCTGAAGTGACATGCACAGTGTCTATTCCGTTAGTAGGAACAGACATCTTCACACTGAACATGTGCGCTCAACTCGCCCAGTCTGAAGCTAATCAGTGTCTTTGTCTCCTGGACACTGCTAAACACTTCCAGGTTTGGAGTCCATTTCTCTTCCCAACCAACTTATATGTTGTTGCAGTCACATACTGTAATTCTACCTTACGTTTTTCACAACCATGAACCTTATTATGGTTTTA